AGGCTCTCTAAGCACACTGTTAGTTAAAAACCTGTTCTGGGGAAGAAAGGGAGCCAAGAGGCAAGGATGGCATAAGGCATGCATAGGTAAGAGGCAGATGAGAAGTCGCCTGATTCAGGTCGTGCCAAGCTTTGGCCAGGTTTCACCTCGAAGAATTCACATTCCAGTACCAGCTTCCAGGGAACATGGGACTGCACCTGGCTTTGGGTCTGAAACATTCTTTATTGGCTCAGAAGCCTTTAGAAAGAGAAGATTTCCAGGAGATCTCCACTCCGATGTTGTTCCCATAGCAGAAGAGAATACTTTTTCTTGCACTCACATGTTTCTCCCAAGATGCACACTAGATGGCAGATATAGAACCTTGTACTGGTGACCTCTACTGGTACTATTCTCAATTTGCATACTAGATGGCAGCACAAAAGGGCTTGTAATAGTCAACTCCACTCAGGTGTTATTCCCAAGTTGCATACTAGATGGAAGCAGAGAAGAGTTTTTCCTAGTGACCCCCACTCAATGGAAGCAGCAGAAAATAAATTTTCATGGCATGCATTTGGATGTTATTCCCAACATGCCCACCAGATGGCAGCTGAAAATTTTCATGATGACATAAACTTAGGTGTTATTTTCAAAATGCACATGATATAGCATACACTCGATATTATTCCTAAAATGCCAAATGGATGGCAGCAGTGAATTGATATTTATGATGACAGACACTAGGTGTTGTTCCAACCAGTTGTCAGCAGAATAACTTTTTATTACATACTTTCTGCTGTTATAACAAACTACACAAGATGAGGGCAGAAAATAAATTTTCATGACATACACTCGAGTCTTAGTCCCCAAATGCCCACCAGATGGCAGCAGAAAATAAATTTTTATGATGACATACACCTGGGTGTTATTTTCAAAATGCCCACGAGATGGAAGCAAAGAATAACTTCTCATGACATGCACTCCTGTGTTTCCCAAGATGCACACGAAATGACAGCAGAGAAAAATTTTTCATAATGACAAGGCCTCAGGTGTTATTTTCTAAGTGCTCAGTGAAATAGCCCAAAAATAACATTTCATGACCCGCACTTGGTGTTATTTCCAAAGTGGCCACCAGATGGCATCTGAGGACGAATTTTTATGACAGTGACTAGAGTTTTATTCATAAAATGCCAACCAGATGGCAGCAGACAGTAACTTTTTATTACATACACTTTGCTGTTATTCCCAAAATGTTCACAAGATAGCAAGAGAGAATAACTTTTCATGACATGCACTCCTGTGTTATTCCCAAGAGACACACGAAAATGGCAGCAGAAAAAAATGTTTCATAATATGACCTTGTGTGTTAACGTCAAAATGCACACGAGATTAACGGCAGAAATAGCTTCATGACATGCACTAGATGTTGTTCCCAATGTGCCCACCAGATGGCAGCAGTGGATGAATAGTCATGATAACAAACACTCGGGTGTTATTCTTAAAATGCCCACCAGATGGGGGCAGAGAAAAACATTTTCTTACATATACTCTGGTGTTATTTCAAAGATGCACATGAGATGGACTCAAAATAAATTTTCATGACATACACTCAGCCGTTCTTCCCAAAATGCCCAACAGATGGCAGCAGAAAATAAATTTTAATAACATACACATGGGTGTTATTTCCAAAATACCCACGAGATGGCAGCAGAGAATAACTTCATGACCAGCACTGTGGTGTTATTCTAATATTGACCACCAGATGACAGCAGAGAATGAATATTCATAATGACCTGTACTTGATGACATATACTCAGGTGTTATTCCAAAAATGCACACCAGATGGCAACCAAGAATAGCTTTTTGTCATGACATTCATTTGGGTGTTATTATAAAAATGCACACAAGATGGCAGCGGAGAAGAGCGTTTCCCTGCCTTAAGGGTTCTGTCCACTCATTAAAATAAGAATCCAGATTCTTGATACTAAGCTCACTTTGAAATTAATCCTGTTTTAGGCCTTTCACATGCCTTATCTAACGTATTGTTTCCATTTGCCAAATGAGGAAGGAAATCTCCATTTTACTATCTCCATTTTACAGGAATTTAAACTGAAGACTGATTCTAACAGTTCTGAGTCCAGGAAACTGCACTCACACAGGATCCTGCTTCCTATCCAGAGAGGAGCTCCCTCACAAGAGCATGGCTCTCCCTTCTAGATTGGAGCTCCCGGCCCCCAGAGTGGAGCTCCCCCCTAGAAGCAGGTCTCCCCCCAAAAGAGAGCCCCCACTTAGATCAGGGCTCCTCCATTGTGAGGCTCTGCTAGGAGTGGGATCCCCCATAAAAGGTGCTCTCCCCCACAAGAGTAGGTTACGTTAACAATGGTGTCCCTCAAAGAGCAGGGCTCCCCACCTGAAAAGGGATACCCCTCTTTGAGTGGAACTCCACCTTATATAGCAAGACTCACCCCCATAAGAGCAAGGTGCCCCACTTAGGGTGTGTCCCCCCCTTCTAGAGTGGGACTCAACCTCTAGAGTAAGGATCCACCCCCTAATATCAGAGCTCTTCCCTAAGGGTGTGGCTTTACCACAAGAAAGAGGAGCTTCCTTCTGAGAAAGAGAGGGAGCCCCTCTCTATGAAAGGAGACCTTCTCTAGGGTGGGAGCGTGTCGGGCCTGCCATGGACTTTAGCGTAGTAGTTATCTTCACCCAACACAAAACCTAAAGTAGACTCGGAGGATAGACCCGAGGGGAGCCCCTTTCTCAGGAAATGCAAACTTATAAAACAACTATAACATAACTCGGGGAAAAAAATAATAGCCATATATATGACATTGACTTTTTAGATAGAACACAAAATGCATGATTCATGAAATAATTGATAAGCTAATTTTATTAAAACTACAAAATAATTTGCTCTACAAAAGACAATGTAAGAGAATGAGAAGACAAGCCACAGACTGGGAGAAAATATCTGCGACAGACACATGTGATAAAGGACCATCATTCAAAATATACGAAGAAAGCTTAAAATTCAACAGTAAGGAAACACACAACCCAATTTAAAAATGGGCAAAAGACCTAACAGACACCTCACTAAAGAAGATACACAGCTGTCAAGAAAGCACATGAAGTGATACTCTATATCATGTCATTAAGGATACGCAAATTAAAACAATGAGGTGTTAGAATGGCCATAAAAAGTGACAGTTTTAAGTGTCTTTGGCCTGGCTTGGGTAACATGCTCATCCTTGAACCCATCGGAGCACCCAGGAGGTGGAATGTGGGATTGACCAGATGGGGGGCGGCCCTCTGAAACTGTCTGGGCTGGAAGCAGGGAGTAGGAGTTCCCAAAGGGAAGCCAAGGTGCTGGCCTTGGGCATGAGAACGGGTGCTGGGTTGGGGGGAGCAGCAGACTGTAGGACGCTGACGGCCCCCCACACAGCTGCAGGGTCTGAAGCCCACGGGAGAAAGGGGTTCATAGGGTCAGGGCTGCAGCACCACATCCCAGGCTCTCACTGTTCTCCCGCAATGGAGGCTCAAAAAGTATTCCGACACCTGGAATCCACAGCTGGCCAGCTTTCCGAAGGCCACGGGAGCTGAACCATGGATGCACGTGGCTCTCCGAGTCCACGAGACCTCGGTGTAAAACCGCCCGTTGGGAGACAGTTGCTCCCATATCAGGCAGTCACGTGGGTTCGTGTGGAAGGGCACCTAGATGTCACTGGGGGTCATGCAGGGATCACGGTGGAGTCATACAGGGGACATGTGCGGGTCACCTGGGAGTTATGTGGGATCATGGTAGTCACATAAGAATCACAACAGGGTTGCTTGAAGGTCACGTGGAGTCACATGGGTGTCACATGAAGAGTTTGTGGTGGGGTCCCGTGGGAGCCGTGTGGGGGAGGGAGCCACAGGGGAATCACAGCACCAGCCCAGGGTGTTCCTGCTGGAAGTGAAGGACCTGAGTGTGAACAGGAGGCATTAGGCAGACCTGGGCGGGTGTCATCTGTGCCCTTTATAGCCATCGATGTGTGAAGGCAGGGTTAGGGACAGCCCCGGGAACCCTGGGCCTGAGGGGAGGAGGCTACTTCGCACAGCTGGGGCAGGTGCGACAGGAGAGATGGACCTGAGGACTGGCTCACGATGCAGAGCCCGCGTCGATGTCATTTGGGGCTTTGCCTCTGGTCTGTGGAAGTGTCCCGGTCCGGGGCGCAACGTCCTACAGCACTCGCGTGAGGTGGCACATGCGGCCAGCGCGGGCAGCTGGGCACCCGCTGACGGAATAGCAAGCACCTTTCATTGTGCTGCTTCTGCAGGTTTCCCGTGTGTTCGAAATGACTAGAAAGCGAAGTGCTTCTAGGAACAGCCAGGTCCACTCCCACGCGGACTGCGGGGGGCGCAGGCAGGAGGCCCTTGCCCGACCGGGATCTGCTTGGCCTCAGAGGCCCGGCGAAGACCGCGAGGTTCCGGTGTGCGGTGACCGGTCCCGCGCCGTTCAGGTTCCGCTGTCCACACCCGGCCCTCTCCGGGCGCCCACGCGAGCTTCCCGGCACCCTCTGCGTCTCTCCTCACGTTTACGCCTCACTTTTCCAACCTTTACCTCACACGGCTCACCCTGACGGGGAGACGTCGTAGCCCACCCCTGCGGAACGCAGGCAACACTTCACGCTTCGCCGTGGGCGGGGCCTCACGGGCGGGGGCACGGAGCGTGCGTTCGCGGAGGCGCGCAGTGGGCGGGGCCTCACGGGGAGGAGGGGGGCGTGCGTTTGCGGAGGCGCGCAGTGGGTGGGGCCTCACGGGCCAGGGACACGGAGCGTGCGTTCGCGGAGGCGCGCAGTGGGCGGGGCCTCACGGGGGACGAGCGGGCGGGCGTTCGCGGAGGAGCGCAGTGGGCGGGGCCTCACGGGGGAGAGGAGCGGGGCGTGAGTTCGCGGCGGCGCGCAGTGGGCGGGGCCTCATGGGAGAGGAGCGGGCGTGCGTTCGCGGAGGCGCTCGGTGGGCGGGGATTCGCGGGACGGCGCGCCGTACGCACGTTAACAAGCGTCAGCAGTCAGGGCCGCTGGGCCCCCGGAAACGCTCGCTCGTTTGGCGTATTTCTGGTGCGCCGCCTGACGTGAGACTCATGGGATTGGCACCTGTCAGATCCGCCAGTTAGCGCTTGCTCTAGGCTCTTCCCTAGAGCCGGAAGCAGCTGCTGCTGGGCGAGTGTCCGACTGGAGCCAGGGAGCCGGGATTCCCGCCCGGCGGGTGGGCACGATGCGGCTCGGCTCCGGGACCTTTGCTGCGTGCTGCGTAGTAATCGAGGTGCTCGGCGTCGCACTATTCCTTCGAGGATTCTTTCCGGTTCCCGTTCGTTCCTCTTCCGGGACCGAGCACCAAACAGAGCCCCCAGCGCCTGAACCCTCGGCGGGTACGAACACCTTCCCGGCGTCTCCGCTCCGCGGGCCCAGTTTTGCCCGGAGGAACCTCCTTTTGAGCCCCGCCTCTTGGACTTCTTCCCGGGGCTCCCGGCTGCTCTCTTCCATTCTGGTCCCCACCCCCAGGTCCCCCCCTCTGACCGCTCCAGCCTCCTTTTCAGTATCCTACAAGTCTGTGGCAACCACCCCTGTAAGCCCTACTTCGACCCTCCTCCCTGGTCACCGAAAAGTAAGCTCTCCACACCTGGACCTTGCTTCTCCAACTCAGCTTATCCAATGACACCCCCAATTCCTTCCCTGAGTAGACTTTGAGCCATTCCCTGCTCCTGACATCCTTTTTATTCAGTGAGTCACAGCAAAGGTTCCTGCCGACCTTTAGCATTTTTTTCCCTATGACATTCCTCCAAGACCCCTTTTTTACCAGTAGTTAACACTCCATAGACCCCTTCCTAGTTCTCATCTACCTGTACTACGTAAGGGTACTCCGGTTTTGGACAAGGTCCATACAATACCAGTCACCGACCATGTAAACACGTTGTAAATTGCTCACTCCTCCATTAAGCAAAGTAATGTGTTTACTTCGAGGACCCTCGTGAAGGGACTCCCCTGTCCCAGTACTTCTCACCATGCTAAGGGCAATTAATACTGGGGCTCGCTGAGCTTGCTCAATGCCCTCCCCACCACCACCACCACCAGCAGCAGCATCTAGCAAGGACCCGCCTTTCTCTTCAGGTCTATATATGTAGATATAACAGTCTACGTGCTGGAGAAGTATGTAGAAAGTAGATTATAAGGTGCCTGAATGCTAAATAAAGTTTAAAATTCAATGTCCTTTCTTCTTTCAAACACTTTTAGGAGCCAGTTCCAACTGGACCAAACTCCCACCACCTCTCTTCAGTAAAGTTGTTATTGTGCTGATAGATGCCTTGAGAGATGATTTCGTGTTTGGGTCAAAGGGTGTGAAATTTATGCCCTATACAACTTACCTCGTGGAAAAAGGAGCATCTCACAGTTTTGTGGCTGAAGCAAAGCCACCTACAGTTACTATGCCTCGAATCAAGGTAAAGAGTTTGATGTAAAAGTTTACAAATCATGGTTTGGCTTTTTCGGGGGTTTAGAAGGGCTCTCTGTAGTCTTTTACTTGGAGTCTAAATTTTAACTAAGTGGTAATTAGTTTGGTGCTGTCAGCCTGGCTGGGGCAATAGAATGCTGAAGATGCTTCACAAGTACGGTGGAGCTAACACCATGATTCGTGGCCCCTTTTAAGTAGCCAAAGCTCATGCTTCCTAGGAGCGCGTAAAGGCTTTAGAGCCAGATCATGCAGGCCAGCCTCGTCTCAGAGAGACCATCCTCCTTGCTAACTTGTTCTTGTCTTTAATTGTCAGTAGTCTGTTTCAATCCTGGAAGGAGCCCGAAGGGTTATCTAGTTCAATCTCTTGACTTTATAGATGAGGAAGGAAACTCAGACTTGTCCAGCCCTGTAGCATACACAGTAACCAAACCAGCAAGATCTGGCCTCAACAGTTCTCACTGTTTCTACTACGGAAACCCCCTTCAGGTAGGTGTTCAGCCTAGCGAGAGTGGCTTTGAAGTGCATAGTGCTTTACCCAGAAACTACAGATGAAGAACAGAGTAAAGCTGTATTGACCGGCTCAAACTATTGAAACACTACTCTGTGCTAATGTTGTAATGGATGTACAGTCGAGGGAAAGTAGTGTCTCTGCCTTCGTGGAGCTCTTAGTCTCTAAGGAGAGGAATAGCCATTAAACAAATGAACATGCGAATAAATGTGCAGTTATAAAGTGCGATTAATACGTAATGAGAAAGAACAGGGTGTGATGCTCAGTGCCGGTTGGAGGGCTCAATTTAGATTCCGGGGTGGGGGGGGGTGGGCGGAGTTGGGTAGGAGGGTCAAAAAGCCTGTCCAAGGGAGTTACAGTCAAGTTGAGACCGGAAAGACGAGTGTAGGGGTGAGTGCAGAAAGGGACAGAGGAGCTTAAAAATGTGTGAATAGATTGCACGCTCACATCATGTAAAAGTCTCTGTCCGAGCCTTAGTCTGCGGCTGACCATGTGACACCTCACTATTTAATAAAAAGGAGCCACTTCTTGATTTAAAGCTAGGAGGCAGCATTTAGTAGGTGCTCAGTAAATGTTTACTGGATGAACAAAATGGGGATTGAAGGGATCGATGCCACACTTTTCATCGACTGTTTTTTTTTTGTTTTCTGTTTTTGAGTTTCCCACTCTGCCACTTCTGGATGTGGCGTGTCCTTCATTCAGCAGTGTTTATTTAGCATCTGCTATGTACCACACACCATACTAGTTAAGAGGGATTCAGTGAAGAACCAGAGAGCAACTGTCCTGTCCTCCCGGAGATCACTTTCTTATCGAGGGGACAGAAAATATGTAAGTTTACAAATAAGTAATCAAGATAGTTTCAGAGAGTGATACATGCAGTAGAAGAAATAATGGAGGAAAACGTGACAGGGAGTGATGGGAGTGGAGCGGGGTGCCTCTAGTCAGAGTGCTCAGAGACAGCCTCTTGGGACTGGTCACTCTGCTTAGCCCACTCCCGTGAAAGCCAGAACGAAGGCATCAGCTCCTGAACTCTAGGAGGCACAGTGTCTGTCTGCTCCATCTGCTCCTTCAGAAGTGTGGACGGAGCCCATTTCTTCTTCGTTCTGGTGAGACAAGTGCGATCAGGAGTCTGGGCAGATTTGTAAGGAACCGTGCGCACGCGCCCAGCTTCTGCTCAGCCCTGCACATTGGCCAGTGTGCTTCTCAGGGATCCCCATCTCCAGCCCGTTTGTTTCAAGTCACAAACCAGTGTTTTTTTCCATTTAGTTTCGTTTTCAGTCTTTTGCAGGTTCTTGCTCCTCATTCCCCATCAGGAGAAACGTGCTGTAGTGAGGGTTAGGCAGGGTCCAGTGGTGTCGGCTAAGGAACGTGTCCCCTGCCACTCTTCTAGTGAGGGCACGGGCTTGGTCCCCTTGAGGTGTCGATACAATTTCCATGAAACGCTGATCCTAATGTCTGAAGACTATTGTCCCTAGTAGCACTTACACGTTAGGGGCCTGCATTAGCTTCTTTATAAAGTTATGTAACTAGCTTTTGAGTGCCTTTCTCCTCTTTAGGAAATTTGTAGTCACAGTAAGCAGCAGGTACTGACCACTGCTGCCGTGAGCGCATACTGCAGGCGTTACTGCATGCACTGCCACGGTGGCCATGCGAGCTGTGCTCCGTGAGATAGGCGCCACTGTCTTATCCATTTTCCCGAAGAGGAAGCAGGCTTCAAATGGTAACATCGAACTGGAATCAGAAACTGGAGCATTAGGGTGTGTTTGGTTCCAGAGTCTCTGTTGGTCACACCGTGTTGGAGAGCAGCACCACGGAACAGGGCCAGCAAGTCACAGCCTTCTCAGGAGTCTTCGCAGAGCCTTCCTTAGTCTCCAAATGCAAAAGAAACCCCGTTCCCCAGGCCATAGCAACTGTGAGGAACCTCCAACGAGCTGATAGACTTGAGCTCCCACTTAGACTTCCTAGGGCTCCCAGCTAAAACCCACTTGCTGCCTGCATGCTCCCTCGGGTGAAGGGGATGCCATGTTGTTTCTGCCCTACTTCAAAATGTCAGTAGGAACGCAAGCCAGTGTGAGAAGGAGGGGAGTGCCTTGGAAAAGCCCCAGGAGAATGGATGGACAGATTCAGCTACATGACAACAGAAAACCTTTATGTGGCAGAAGACATTATAAACATAGTCAGCTGACAGACGGTGAACTGGAAAAATTATTTACAGTTGACATAAAAAACAAAATGTTAAGCCCATGATATGCAAAGAGGATCCAGTCGAGGACAGAAGGCCAGTGGCAACTGGACAAGGATATAAAGAAACCCACCAAGGAAGAAATTGAACGGCAGTAAAGATGAGAAGATTCTTCACTAGCAGTCAGAGCAAGGTGAACGATGTGTAAGGCCAGTTTTTGTCTAGCACGTTGTGAAAATTTGAAGGTCGATGGTAACCTGCTCCTTCACATGAAATGAGGTGAGCAGGTGTCTTAATACCATAGGTATGACTGTGACCGGATTGAGCTAACACCTCCATGGCCACCCCCCTAGTCCGGTCTGCTGTGGCCCCCAGCACCTCTCTTGCCCAGATCGTGTCCTAGCACCAGTGAGCTCTCTGCTCTTAATACCCGCCGTGGCCTGCGCTCTTCCTGGTAACCCAGGCTCCAGGGCTGTGTACTCCTGGCCCCGTTTACACTCCCACCCTCATCCGAGCTGCTTTCCGTCTCACTGCGCCTTGTTCACAAGGTCACACGTGGCTCGGGCCCCTGAGTGCACTGCCCTCCTCCCGCCTTGGAGCCTTGGCAGTTTACTACATTTCCACCTAGAAAGCCCCACCTCATCTCACCTGGACAGCACTTCAATCTTCAGGTCTCAGCTCAAATGGCACTTCCATTGAAACCTTTAAAATTGACACCCATTAAGACAGTCTTGGTTAAATATATCAAGCGCTCCAAACACCAGAGCACTTGATAGCTGTTTAAAAAAATGAAGTAGGTGTTTTCTGGAGAAAGAGGTCCATGATCTGTTATTAATTGGAAAAGAAAAGCAAGTTGTAGAGCTGTTGATATAGTTTGTTACTCTTGGTAAAAAGTGGATCTTTGTCTATTTGTGGTTGTACACATATGTGCAAAAGTAGAAAAGGTACTCACGAAAAGCAGCTAGTTTTCTCTAGGGTAGAATTTGGAGGAAAGAGAGAGGCTCACATTTTAAAAATAACTTTATTGAGATAGAATTTTTATGCAGTACGGCACATTTTTACGTGCACAGTTCGATGAGGTGTAGCAAAGGTGTATGTCCATGCCGCCCCACCTTCCCCTGGAGATTTTGATCCCCACCCCGGGGTGGTGGCTGTTGTCGCTATTAGTGTGTTTGTGTAGTGACTTGCCAGACTTATTCTGGGAGTTTGGCTCCCGCTGTGTGTGCAGTAACTGATGTCTCTGCTAAGTTGTTTGCTTAATTCTTATTTATTTATTTATTTTTTGGCTGGTTTCCCTAAGGGTCAGCCTGGCTTGGCGGGGCCAGATTTCACTCTCTGCAGGTGCACATGTGAGTTGGGCCACACACTCCCTGTCTGGGAGTTTATAAGTCTGCCCTGACTCTCGCTTTCTGTTTGAGCAGAGCATCCTGCTCATCCTGGAGGGACAGTTACCTAGGTGCTGTCTGGTCTCTCCTGAGTGTGCATTCAGCCCCATGTGTGCACGCAGCCCTCAAGACCTCACGAACAAGTGGGGCTTAGAGAGGTCGGCTGCACCTGCCCCATTCTCCAGATCCCCCTTTTAAATTGGGGGTGGTCTCTTACCACAACGAGCATTGAAGCCTCAGGCGCCTGTGGTGTCTGCCTTCCTGTTGGTCTCACATCCTTGGCATGGCACTTTTCCGTGGAGTTCCCAATCAGATGGCCCTCCTGGTCCTCATGGCCTTTGCTTCCCAGAGCAGGAAGGTGGCGGGCAGCCCAGTCACAGTGGTGCCGGCACTCACAGCCAGGGTTTAGCAGTTTGTCTGGAATAAGAACCTCTAGATTTGTTGTACGTCTTTGGTGACTTTTCAGAATCCTGAAAAGGTTGTTTCTGACAGTTTTATCCGGTTTTATTGTTGATCTTGTGGGGAGGATTTGTTGAGCTCCTCACTCACATTCCAGAGGTCCCCTTAATTCACATTTGCAGTTATTTGCTGTTAAAGAAGTCTTGACAGAATCGTCACACCTTTGGTGTGGTGCAGATTCCTGCCCATTTCCATTGCGCAGGTTCATGGACACTAGTGTGTGGGCTGTTGGAAAACCCAGGTCACAGAAACATGAGCCATTGTGTGGCCTCTTAGAGTCTGCTGAAATGCGGGAGGTTTTTGACTCAATCCTAGGTCAGAAAGGTGTGAGGAATGTCACCCCCACACCCTCCTCCCAGCAGGTACAGTGTCGCCTTGGGGTCCCCCCGGTGTCCCGGGCCATGGCACTGTGCGAATTCCTGCGAAGGGCTCAGAGTCCGCCTTCCTCCCCAGGCGGGCAAGAAGCTGCCCTTCCACTCGGGTGTGGGCGTTAGAGTCTCTGGGTTGTAAGAGGAGCAGGTGGAGTTTGCTGGTCACTTGGAGCATTTGGAAGCTCAGGTGAGACCCAGACCGTGGATTCTCCGCACGCGCCACACTTGGCCGTTCGCTTCAAGCCTCATAATCCGCAGTTACCCAGAGACACCACGGCCGCCTCCTTACCTTTCCTTGGGGGGAATAGGGTCAGGTCTTCACTACTAAGTTTTCTGGCTTTGCCCAGAATCGGGGTGAAGTTTTCCCTCTTCGTCCTGACCCTGACCCAGCCTCCAGTCTTGGGGGTGCTCTCACTTAAGGCTTGTGTCTTGCATCTGTGACATGATTTCCAGCACCCTTCCCGTGCTGCCCTTGGGACCCTGTAGTCTAATCTGTGAATGTTTACTCCCACAGGCGTTGGTGACAGGGAGCCTCCCTGGCTTCGTCGATGTCATCAGGAACCTCAATTCTCCCGCACTGCTGGAAGACAACGTGATCACACAGGCAAAAGCGGCTGGGAAAAGAATGATCTTTTACGGAGATGACACGTGGGTGAAACTGTTCCCGAAGCATTTTGTGGAATATGACGGAACAACTTCATTTTTTGTGTCAGATTATACAGAGGTCAGTTTTCCCAATAAACGCAGAGCGCGGGAGCGAGTGCAGGACCTGGCGCATTCAGTTAGTGGGAGGCCGCGGTGTTTCGCGTGGGGCGTTTATGTGCCGGGAGTAATGTGGAGACACCGTAGACCTTGTCCATTCACATAATCACTTACAACCTGGGGCGTGAGTCCTGACACAGGTGTGAGGAAATTCTCTGGAGCCCCAGGCCTGGAGCAGCTGAGCACTATAGGTGGGGCCCGAAGGGTCAGGAAGGGCTTCCCAGCACAGAGCCATGTGAACCAAGTTTTGACAGGGGAGCAGGGACTTCCCATGTGGACAGGATGAGGAGGCAGAGCCCAGGGCTCCGTGTGCTGCCTGGATCCTCGAGGCCGCTGGTTCTTCTCTGAGCGGGACAGCATCTGCACTGGGGAGGTTTGAGGGCAGCCGGTGAGCTGGGTGGAGCTTGGTCCTGAGGAGCATCGGCCCCAACGAGGGAAGAGTGTCATTAGAGCCATAGTTATAGGGGGGCCCATGGAGCAGTGTCACACGTGCTTGGTGTTGGCCTTGCACCCCTCCGTTTTCTGGGCCTGGCGAAGCACCTGTTGTCCACTTACGTTGGTGCCCTCTGCTGCGCTGGCCTGTGCAGACACAGTGGTTACTGTCCAGCTGGGGCCCCCATCCTGAATACCGTCACTCAGGAACACTTGTCATCGTCAGAGATTTTCCGTGGGAGGGAGCGGGGCTCAGCGGGTAGAGCTGAGCAGGCCAGCGGCTGGCTATGTTGGGGGTTGCTCGACTTCTGACCGCCGAGCGCTGCGTGTCTTCCCTCCCAGAACAGCCGCACTGGACACAAGTAGATGCGAGGTCCCCTGAACTCTGGGTCCTGTTCTGTCTTAGCTAACTGCCTTTGGCCCTTAGGTACTTTGTAACAACTTAGCACCTGTCGAACTCAGTCATTTGCCCAGTTGAGCCCCAGCAGTGAGCCCGCACGATTTTTTGTCAGAACAAAGCTTGTTCATTTAAATTATCTATCTGTATGATACGTTCTGTCTGTAAGCTGGAGACATAAAGAAACCGATGTCAGCTTGATCCAATGCTAATGTTTGCTGAATTTTTCATGACAGTTTTTTCTTGTTTTTTTTTTTTTTCCAAGCTCCCACGAGTCCTGTTACCTAAAATAAATCCCTGTAATTTGTAACAAGCATATCATTTTTTCCTGGGTGGGGTGAAGATCAAGGGGAGTTAGAGCTGTTCACGTGGACTTTTCCCCCTTTGAAGGTAGATGACAATGTGACGAGGCATTTGGACAAAGTACTGAAAAGAGGGGACTGGGACGTGTTGATCCTCCACTACCTCGGGCTGGACCACATCGGCCACACATCTGGGCCCCGCAGCCCCCTGATCGGGCGCAAGCTCAGCGAGATGGACGGCGTCCTGGTGAAGATCCACACCGCACTGTTGGCAGAGGTGAGGTGCTAGCATGCCACAGTGCCACCACGTCCTAGAAACAAAGCCGCCGACGGGAACTCAGGTTGCCCTGCGAGAACGTGCACCCACCACTGCTCAGGCAGCACTCAAACAGCGCGTGCGCATGCTGGGCACGTTACGACGTCCTGCGCTGCCTCGGTCTCCCAGCAGCCCTGTAGCATAGCGGCTGCGAGTGTCTCTCTACCATCACCCGTCCTCCAGCTCATGGTTCCTGAGTGCCTTCTCTCTTGCCATTCCTGTCCAGGTACCGGTGGGGCTTATGCTCTAGCCAGGAGGGCAAACAAGAAGCATAGTAAATGAATACAGAGTATTCTTGGCAGTGATTGGTGCCAGAGGAAAAAGTCGGCCAGGAGTGGGGAGCAGCGTCAGAGAGAGTGGCTATAACTTTAACCAACATGGTTCGAGTAGCCACATGAGGTGTGAGCAGACACTTGGGGGCGGGGGGAGGCAGGTGTGCCGTTGCCAGGTGAGGAACAAGGGCCAGGCAGAGCCTGCCAGGCACATGTGAGGCCAGCAAAGCCCATTGGTCGGAGCCCCAGGTGCAGAGAGGCGGCTGCATTCGATAGTTGAGGGGCTGACGAACGATGTACCCATGCTGTCATAGATGGAACTGAACCATATCTTCTGCCCTGAGAGCCTTAAGCATGAGCCTCCTGTGCTGTGTGACCTCCATGAGATTCTGTTTGTTTTATATATGACATTATTTGACCTTGACCCTTTGATCTGACTACAAGCTCATAGATTTAAAAAGAAACTAACTCATTTAGAAAGAACTACTGTTTACAAAATAAAACTAAAGCAAAGCATAACAAGGTCGTGTGCTCTCAGTTTCAACGTGGTTGAAATATTTCTCCTTTGCCTTCCAGGAAAGGGAGACTCTTTTGCCCAATTTGCTGGTTCTTTGCGCCGATCACGGCATGTCTGAAACGGGAGGTCATGGAGCCTCCTCCACGGAGGAAGTGAACACCCCTCTGGTCTTCATCAGTTCTGCGTTTGAAAGGAAACCTGGTGAGAATGTTTTTCTGTTTAACATGTTGGAACTACATTTCATATTTCATTTGTTTTCTGTCATCCGGTTGTAATTTTAAAAACCGTTTTGAAAGCTACTTTTGAAATATCCTGAGCAATGTGCAAACGAAAAGTAATGGGGCCAGGAGCAGTCGGGAGGCGAGTTTAGGCTTCTGGCCCTGATTCTTAAAATACAGCTATTCTTCGTGAGAATGTCGCTGTATGAATGTCACTGCCTAGAGCTGCAGGTATGAACTGGAAGAATTGTAAATACTTAAACTTTTTTAAAAAGACCCATTATTTGAAATTATATATTAAGTAGCAATGAGCAGTCATAGGACCAGTCAGAGCGGGATTAGCAGAGGACTCGTCTGTCCTGGTTGGCACACCCCAGCTCTCCCCACAAGACGTACACGGCCCCTCTGGCCCTTGCGGCCTGCCTCTCCCCACACTTGAGCCTGGCCTTTGCCTCCTCACTGTGGACCCTCGCCGGCCATTTCCTAGTGGGACGCTCTGTGGCTCCCTCCACATGATCCCGGTGTCATCCGGCACTGCTAGCTCTCGTTCTGGGACCTCCCATTTCTCCGGTTTCTTCCTACTTCTCACGTTGCTGGCCTGTCTCCTGCACTCACTCCTGACATCATCTTGTTCACGTCCATGGTTTTCAGTGCTGTGGACAAGCTCACACCTCTCAAGTTGACCCCTCCAGCTCTCTCCTCTTTCTCAGCGTCCAGACTATCACTTAGCTGCCTGTCCACCTGGAGCAGATGCGACTCTCACAGAGATTCCACAGGTGGAGCAGACACGACTTCTCGTCCAGTCTGCCCTTGTTGTTTCTGTCTACACATGGCACCATCCACGGGGTTCAGCAAGTCCGTAATCTTCCTTCTCCCTGGCCCCCACCTTCCAGCACATCCCAGCCTCTCGTCTGGAAGGCCTTTCAGGAGCCAACTTGGGGCACAGTAAGAGCCTTATGTGAGGCTTCTTGCCAAGCTCTGGAGCCGCGTTCCCCATTACTAATGTGCCCTGGCCTCAGCCTTCCCCAACTCTTCCCTCTCAGCCTCTGGCCTCCTGACATGTGGGTTTGGCCTCTTGTGAGCTGACCCGCCGGCGCCTGCCTTCCAGTGAGTGTGCACCACACCCACCAGAACACCGGCCCCACCCGTTGCCCCATGCACCCCAGAGCAGGTCTGTGCGGCTCCCCAAGCCAAGCGAGAGTCTCCACCGGGAGCAGCCGTCCCTTCCACTGTCCACTGCCCAGCAGAGGCGCACTGAGCACCTGCCGGGACCAGGCGCGAGCCGGGCGGTGTGACAGCTTTCTCCCTCCGGGAGCTTTTCCCGTGCGGAAGGAAAGACTTGGCTAAGCTGGCTTTCTTCATGTCAGAAGGTTAAGGTTATTTCACTCAGGCGTGGGTGCTTCGTCTCTGAGGTGGGTCCTCAGCCCTCTCTTTCCGGGAGGCCCGACTACATCTCCGAGGCCAGGAAGGGCCGGGGCGCTGTGCTCGCAGACTGCCCTCAGGGCCAGCGGTGTGCTCTGGGTTTTTTGTTTGTTTTTCAATTTGAGTGTTTGAAGAATAGTTCTATTCTGTGACCTCATTCTGCTCACTTTATGAGCCAGGACTGAACTGCTAGTCCTTTCAGAGCTGGGGCGCCATCATCAGGAAGATTGCATTGCTGCTTCAGTGGGCACCGGCCACATTCCCCCGCCCCGTAACCCCGCACCCACCACGCAGCTGTCCACAGCGACTCATCTTTCTGTCTCTGTGAGATTCGCATCTTCAGGACATGTCATAGAAGTGGAACCCTGCAATACGTGGTCTTAAGCGACTGACTTCAAGGTCCACCCACACTGTAGCGAGGACCAGGTCTTCGTCCCTCTCTGCAGCCGAGTGATAGTTGTGTGGACGCACCAGGCACATTTACCCATTCGTCGATTGATGGGTATTTGTTTCCACGGTTTCGCCATTAGGAATAATGTTGCCGTGAACGTTGGTGAAGAAGTTTCTGTGTAGACACATGTTTTCATAGGGTGTCATTTTTTCCCTCGGTACAGCTCTGCCTCACGCCTCCTCTGTGCTGTTCCCATCAAACGCATAACATTTCTTCATGGCATATGCTGACAGTACAATTACGTATATGCCGTTTTGCATACAGTCGGCCCACTGAGCAGCGAGGGTTTGTGCGGAGTGAGCAAGTTTTAAACATCTTTAGTTCAGTGGGCCTCCCTCACAGTTCAGACCCACCTTGTTTGGGGCCAAGTGCGTTCCGATCACGGCTGGGGATTCACGTTAGCTGAGGACCTACTGTCGTTGAGCCCAAATCTTTGCTCAGGTGGTCGGTTCCTTAAGCCCCCACATTCATGGGTCGACTGTAATTGCTTTTTATAACAGTTAAGAGAACTATGTCTTATGCTGTCTTTTGTCATCGTATAACTTCCTTAAATAATGCGCTTTGCCTTCTTTTTAATGGATCCAAATTACCATCTGGAGTCACTTGCTTTCAACCTGAAGAACTTACTTTAGCATTTTTTGTAAGGCAGGCTTGCTAGCAACAGATTGTCTTTTCGTTTTTTAATCTTTTTTAACCCTTTCATTTTTGAAAGATAGTTTTGCTCTATATAAGACTCCTGGGCGAGTGTCCGTTTTTCTCCCAGCACCTCGGCTGTGCTGTCCCCCGCCTTCTGGCCTCCGTGGCCTGTCGTGAGGCATCAGCTCCTCGTCTAACTGGGGCTCCCATCTGTCTTTGCCTCTCAGGGTTTTTATTATGACGCGTCCATGTGTTTTGTGTTTATCCAGCTTGGAGTTTATTTAGCTTCTTGGATGTGTAGATTCAAGTTTTTCATCAAATCTGAGAAATCTTTTGTTTTTTCGTATTGCATAATTTTTATCAACCTGTCCTTAAATTGGATTATTCTGCTATTTTGAAATCTGCTCCTGAGCTACTATATTGAGTTTTTCATTTCAGTCCTTTTTTGTTCAACTTCAGTTTCTACCTGGCTCTTTTTTTGTAATTTCTGTCTCTTTATTGATGTTCTCTGATGAGACCTCATCGTCATGCTTCCCTTCACCTGTTCATGCATAGTTCCCTGTAGGTCTTTGAATGTGTTCATGACAGCTGCTCGAGAGACTGGGTCTGTCGCTCTGATGGCCAGGCCTGTCACAGGAAGGTTCTGCTACCTGCTATTTTTCTGTTTGGGTTGTACTTTCTTGTTTCTTTGCGTAATTGCTCATAGTTTTTGATAAAAGCTGAACATCTTAAATAATAATTGTATCCAGCAACTCTGGATACTGATTCCCTCACCTCCGGGCCTGTCGTCTTTGTCGTTTGCTCGTTTATTTGTTGCGTGACTTGGCTGTACCATTTCCGTGACGTCTTTCCACTGCAGTGAGCAGTCTCAGCCGCCACTCCTGTGAGGGCACAGCCACATTGGGATGACAGCATTCCGAGTGGTGCTGTCCTTTTCTTTGACGTCTCTACTAAGCTGTTACCTCCGTTGCTGTCACACCCAGCTGTTAGGCTCCACTCATTGCCAGCTGATGGCTCTCTTAGTTTTGACAATTTATAATAAGCGTGCTCCACAGTCTGCTCTCATTATATTGGGGCCCTTTTGCAGAGGTAGTGTTCAAGGCCAGTTATAGGTCAGATTTGAGAATGACTAATATGGACGGTCTAGGGCCTGTCACTTAAACTGTTTTTTTTCCTAGGTGACATCAGACATCCAAAGCATGTTCAGCAGACGGACTTGGCTGCAACTCTGGCGGTGGGGCTCGGTCTGCCGATCCCAAAGCACAGCGTGGGCAGTCTTTTATTCCCCATCGTAGAAGGAAAGGCGATGAGAGAGCAGCTGAGATTTTTACATTTAAACGCAGTACAGCTTAGCAAATTGTTGCAGGAGAACGTACCATCATTTAAGAAAGGTGAGTCCATCAGTAGTTGCCGACGTCATCAGACTGTGTCTGCCGGCCGTCGTCGTCTGTCTCTGCGTGCGTGGAATTGTGTCACTGTCTTCCGAGACCCCGGCTACCACCCACTGGCAACACCCACAAGTGCTAGAGTCAGATCAAGCTCTTTCCTTAATTTATTCATTCCACAGATGTGGACTTCTTTTCGTAAGTTCCTATTTGGCTTTTTAAAGCATTGGAAACAGAGCAGTATGAGGGCTCTGCCTCAGGGAGCTTATTACCTTCAAAGGTGGGGAGAGAGAGGGAAGTGGCGGTCAGTGTCAGATGGTGACAGGTGCCTTAGGGAAAGGTGAACTGGGCAGGGGGTGGAGAGCGCAGGGGGCGAGGGCCGTCAGGCTGGCTTGGCCTTTGAGCCTGGGAGGGAGCATGGTGGCAGGTACAGGGTCCTGTGTGGGGGACGTGCCCACACATTCAAGGAGTGGCCAGGAGCCAGAGGGGCTGGAGCATAGCGAACTCTGAGGAAGGCAGAGGACATGAGGTCAGAGGGATACAAGGGCCTCTGGGACACTGGGCTGGACCAGGGGTCCCAGCCATTCCGAGGTGGGTGGGAAACTCCTGCGGGCTTCCCTGCAGAGCCTGCATCTTCCACTTGCATCTTCCAAGGCTCTCGGGCTGTGCAGAGGGTCCTGCCTGGCGCTGCAGGAAAGGTGGGGGCTGCTGCGGAGCCTCAGTGAGGGTGTAGGTGGGAGCCCAGGCAGTGGCAGTGGAGGCACATCCTGGGTACGTTTTGAAGGTGGCACATGCTGTGCACAAGGCATGAGCGAGTCAGAGGCGTAGAAGCAACTTGGGGTTTCCAGCTGACCGGTGAAGGGTGAAAGAGTGGAGCGATCGTGGCCGGGGTGGGGGAGCTGTAGGAGCAGCAGGTCCCATGGCGGGTGCTCACGAGGCGAGGGCCTTGGTGTTGAGGAAGCCACGCAGAGAAGGAACTTCAAGAAGGAGAGAGCGAGGAGCTGTGTTGAGTGCTGCCCACAGTAAAACAAACTGGGCGTTTGAGAATCAACCACCCATCTGGCAAGCGCGGTTTCCAGCGACTTGGTCGGGAACAGACCACGCATGCAGCGCTAGGACAGAGCCGCCGAGGTGAGTGCAGGTGAGGGACAGGACGCAGCAGATAAGGCAGCTCTGGTGGGAACGGGGAGTGGGCTGTTGTCTGAGGTGGGGCATTTTGATTTTAATCTAGGAGAAACTAGGGTGTGTTTATTTTGCTGGTGGGAATGATCCAGAACAGGAGAGAGCAGCTCCCTAGAACAGTGCTTTGAAATTATGTATTCTGACCCATCTGGGTACATAAAGGGCGAGGTATGTGACTCTGGGACTGGACTTGCCTGGGGATCTAGAGGAGGTCAACTCTCAGTCTGAAGCAGCGCTTAATGGGATGTTGACAGGCTTCCTATCTGAAATAGTGGAGTACTGCCTAGTAGAGGGAAGCCCCTGAGTTTGCATTGAGATGTAAACTGACCATGATTTGCTGGTGGAAGACAAACCCTGCCAGCAGGGACCAGTTGGGATCCAGATATCCTAAGTGGCAGGTGGACTTAGGGAGCACCAGCTCTTAGTCTGTGGGGAGGCCCCGGGCAGCAACTTTGTCAAAGGTGGGACCCGGTCACAGTGCTCATTTTAGGCCAGACCAGAGATGACACTTATTTTAGTTATTTTCAATAATAACTTAGGAACTCAGCAGCTTTCGCTAATTTGTTGTTACTAGCAATGTGTGTCTTTCCAGCAAAAACACCAAAAACACAGAACAGCGGGGGTGGTTTGCTTATTTCAGGAGCAGCCAGGTGGGGAGTGTTGAGAACTGCAGGATGTGGCCGGAAATGAGCCTGTGAAATGAGAGCACAGCCCGGTCCCTGGACTGAGAACACGTTCACGGGCCTTACGCCTCCCAGACACCCTTACTCCGCACCGTCCGTGACCGCGTTTCCCGAAACCAAACTGCAGACGCGTCTGACACTGCAGTACGTTTCCAGGCCCTCGTGACGTCCAGCCCAATGCGACGCAACTCGCCGTCACTCATCTGACTTTCTATTGGTTCAAGTGGGACAGGCCTTTCCCACCTCAGGACTATTGCCAGTCCCATTGACTGGATGTCCTTCCCCTGTGTTCACCTGGTGAATTCCTGGGCACCCTTCACCTTTCAGCTTAAATGTCCCCCCTTCCTTGTCCCCTACCCTCAACCCCAGTCAGGTCAGTCCCCTCTCCATTACAAGAGTCTCTCGTTATTCTCTTTCTTTTCCTCCATGGCATTTTCCACAGTTTGTGATTACACACATCTGTGAGTCTCCCGCTGGCGCTCAAGCCGGAGCAAGCCGGAACTATGCGTAGCATGTAGCACGTAGCACTGAGTCAGCGCCTATTAGTAAATATTTGTTTGGATGTTCACACAGGTACCCCCTATGTCTCTGTGACCCTGGGAGGTGGGGGTAGATATAGCAGCTCCCGTGTCTGTGACTCAGGGTGGTAGCGTGTAGCAAGTAAGGGTACCGGCCTTGATCCAGACTACCCGAGTTTAGATCCCGTGAACTCACATCCGAGTTGCCTGCTCTCTGGAATGGGTATGATAATTGTCCCTGTCTCATCGGTCATGGGGAGAGGACGGGGGTGAGGGACTGAGTCATGCCAGCATCCAGCACATGGTACAGGTGAGCCGGCACCAGCAGCGATGGGGGATCTGTACTTCTTGGGCCCATGCTCAGGGCTTGTGCAGCAGGTGTGCTGGGCCGTGCAGGACAGGTGGTGAGGGTTCTGTCCTGGCTGTGATCGGGGCAGGCTGCGGGGGGTGGGCACAGCACTGGCGGACAGGACTGGGCACTCAGAAAGGCACAGCCACCTTGGAAGGGCTCTGCTGGGAGTCAGGAGCGCTAAATACCAGGGATCCCTAGAAAGGAAATTCTTACTTCGCAGACCAGTCAAGGCACAAGTTAAGTCTGGTCCAGCTCTGAAAGGAGGGAAGGCAGCCCCTTGACCTTGGGCAGCATATCGCTGCCCTCCCAAAGGGGGAGCCAGCAGCAGCTGAGGCAGCTCGTCTCCCGGAAGCTGTCCCTAGTCCTGACTTTGCATCGGAGGTGGAACCTCTAGGCCGTGTGGCACATTGAAGGCACCGCTCAGTGTCGTGGCAGGAGGGGCTTGGAGCCTGCCATGCCTTTCCAGAGAGGCCTTGTGATTACGGGAGCCGGTCAAAGGTGGGAGCTGTTGGTGGAAGGCAAGAGGGCCAGCTGCACCGGGAGTGGATGCGGTGGAGAAGGCGTCAGCGTGCGAGCGCTGGAAAACTTGTCAAATCGGGGCCCGTTAACATGACGCATTCTTGAGTGGTTTCTGTGCTGCGGGGAGAAGCACATTGAAGAAGATGGAGGAAGACGAGGAGGCGGCGGGGTAAAGCCGGGGCGGGAGGTGGGGGGCGGGTGCCGACCCCACCTCCCAGATCACACCGCCCAGGCGTGGTTCGTCTGCGCCAGGCGTCAGGTTTTACCACACGCCGTGAGACCCGCATCCCCTGAGGCCAGACGTGTGCGTGTCTGATGTGTACGTGTCGTCTCTTCCTCTTCTTGTTAGAGCCTGGATTTCAGCAGTTTAAAGTGTCAGAAAGGTTGCATGCGAACTGGATCAGACTGTATTTGGAGGACAGTAACTCGGAAGTCCTTGTCAGCCTGGGAACCAAGGTTCGGCGGCAGTATTTGGACGCCCTGAGGACCCTGAGCCTGTCCCTGAGCAGACAGGTGGCCCACTACGATGCCTACTCGATGGCGGTGGGGACCGTCGTGGTGTTGGAGGTACAGTGCTCGTGGTGGGTCACAGCACGGCTATCAAACTGATTTGGTAACTCAGCCAGAACGTTCAATTTTAAAGTACAGATTTTCAGAAAATGGAAAGCTGTGAGTTTTCTCGCTTGTTAAACTCTTCCACTGTGTCCGTACGCACAGCGTCCTGTCAGGCCTCAAGCGGCCCTGCCCCACGTGGCCGCGGGCGCCCATTCTCGGCGATTCATCAGAAATCGTGTTTATGGGGCGCTCTTCTGCTTCCGCCACTTGAACGGTTGATGCAGGTCAAGAGGTGGGCCCGGCCGTCGTGGACACTGCTGCTGTCCTCTGTTCCAGGTCCTCGTCCTGCTCCTGCTCAGCATCCCACAGGCGCTGAGCAGCAAGGCTGAGCTGGACGTTCCTTTGTCGTCGCCTGTGTTTTCCCTGCTCTTTTACTTGACGTCCCTGCTTCTCCTCGCCCTTCACGTCATGGTGTGCACCTCGGCCGGGCGTTCGTGTTACTTCTGCAGCCTCTCGTGGCTGACGGCGGGCGCAGTGATGCTGCTCATCTCTGCCCTGCTCTGCGTGGTCGCGTCTGCTCTCACCAAGATGTTTCTGGACGGAAAGCTTCTGAGGAAGGTAAGGCTGGTTCCCTCAGACACGACACCTTCACTCATCGGCTGGTTGCGGTGGCAGGGTGACGATGGGGAGGGACACACACAGTCGGTGCCAGTGCCCAGGGCTGGAGGGACCCAGCACAAGGGCTGTGCGACACCTGCTGTGTCTGCCCATATCTGAGGAAGTCACATGCCGTTCGTAACACATCTTTCTCCCCGCGAGAGCAGAGGTTTCCCGAGGCCATTCAGTGTTCTAGGGCCTGACTCGTGCCTGGTGTCTGTCTGTTGCGCACTAGCTGCGCATGAGCAGTAGGATATATATTGCGTCGTTGTCAGACGACAGTCACTGAGTTCTTGTGTTTAGTTTTAGATGCTTTAAGTTAGTATGTTTCAAGGGCAGTACTGTGATGCCAACTTTGTCATTTCAAAAAACTTAATGGAGAAATTAGAGGTCCAATTTGGTGGAAAATGTCCTTGGCGTTCTTTGGTGCCAAGGAGCTGTGGCCGCTGAAGGCCCAGACTCCAAGACCGAAGGACGAGGGCCATGGAGGGCTGGGTCCCGGAGCTCCGGCACTGCCGAGCGGGCCTGGGTCTGAACATCCGTGGCCGCGCCCTAGGAAGACTGGGTGTGAGGAGCCACAGGCGTGTGTCACAGCACGTTGTGTTCCGTGAGCAAGAGCTTTTGATCCATGTGGCTAAGGTACGTGCGATTTCAGATTTTTCCTTTACAAACACATCTTCCTTATTACAGAGTCCAGCTTGTTCCGGCTCAGAGTGGTCAGAGTTAGAGCTTCTTATCTTGTTGGGGACCATGGGCCATGTCGTGAGTCTGGGTGCCAGCAGCTTCATCGAGGAGGAGCACCAGACCTGGTACTTCCTTGTCAACACCCTGTGTCTGGCTCTGTGTCACCAAGTCTACAAAAACTACTTTCCGGGACCCGATGGGGGGCCCCAGTGCCACCCGTACATAGCAGACGGATGTGACTGTGCAGCAGCAGCTCTGCAGGGCAGGAAGCCCGCTTGGGACGGGGCAGAGCTCGGGGGAATACACGAGAGCCCCGCTTCCCTGGCCACGCGCCCAGGCAACGAGAAGTGGGTGGTGCTGGCGAGCCCGTGGCTGATCCTCGCCTGCTGCCGTCTGCTGCGGCCCCTGAACCAGACGGGCGTGCAGTGGGCCCACCGCCCCGACCTGGGCCACTGGCTCACCAGGTGAGCGGCCTGTCCTTCCTCAGCCGACTGGCCACGCAGACGCTCCTCTCAAAATTTAGGCCTATTTTTCACATTTGGGATAGAGATGGTTTTGAGATCTGAAGTAATGGAAAAATATACCATGACCCATGAATTGATGTTGAAAAGTATATTTATTTGAGTCTACCCTAATACGTTTGGGTTTTTATTGCTAAAAAAAATTGCTGTTGTTTGAAGACCTGCGAGTCTTCAGTGATGACCGCAGCAAGAAGGTAATTCTGCCACTTGCCACCTCCTGCCAGACGGCACAGGGCTGGGCGAGTGTGTGTCGGAGCCCTGGGGGGCTCTGCCCCTTGACTCCGTCCCAGCTGACGGGCCTCTGTGCCGGTCATGCAGGTGGCTCTTCAGCCACCGCCAAGCCTCTCAGGGTGGCTGGAGGACCTCATGGTGTCGCAGGCGGGAGGAGGGAAGTAACGGGCGGCGGCTGGAAGAGGGAAGGTCAGCGTGCGGGTGTGCGATGCATTTGATCATGTGTCGGCGACAACTTAGACAGCTGAGGGAACAGAGCAGAGCAGAGCGAGGCGGTTTCCCGAGAGCGCGGCGGGCAGGGTCACCGTCTGCTGCGAGGAGCTTCTGTAGAAATGGCCAGCGGGAAGGCGGCTCAGGGCAGCAAGAGGCACATTCCCGTCTTACAGGAGGGACCAGTGGAAATAAAAGGGAAATGCTCACGCCCCTCGTAACTCGGGAGCTTCGGGAAAGCCCGTAAGGACACTCAGCGCGGCCCTTAGCCACTTGGTGCGGACCCGTGACCTCACCGGCTGCGCTTCTGAGCGATTTTTGGCGTTTCCATTTCACTTCAGCTCCGATCACAAAGCCGAGCTCTCCGTCCTGGCCGCCCTTTCCCTCGTCGTGCTCTTTGCGCTGGTCCAGCGGCGGTGTTCCCGGGCCTCGAAGATAGCGATGGCGCTCGGCCTGCTGGGCGTCTACTGCTACCGGGCGGCCCTTGGAAACGTGCTGCTCCCATGGCGACAAGGCAGCAAAGACATTTCAAAGTAAGTGTGCCGGCAGACCTGACAGACCCTGTTAGGTCTGTTTAACGTTTTAAGGCCTAAAAAATGCCATGCAGTCTTTGGGACACTGGAGTCTGTGATTTCGTCAACACCCACCAGAGCGTCTCAGTGAACTGATCCTGTTACTCTCTTTTTTTTCTGGTAGGAGAGGGAAAAATAACTTGGGAGTAGGTGTGTGAGGTTCATTTCTTAAAATAAGAGATTCTTTAAAAACACAGACCCCAAAAGGGATGAGGGCGACAACAGCAAGTGGGCGCTTCCCAGCAGCTGGGAAACGAAGCCGAGACCCGGCCGGTCCCGTGTTTCCGCCGAGCTCCGGTGGGGCCGGGAGCTGCGAGCCGCTCCGTCACGAACACGCCTTCTGCTTGTCAGGTGGCAGCTTCTGTTTTTAATGGCGATGTCGAGTGAGGTGAGCAAAGGCCGTTGCGGAAGATTAGAAAGCACGTGGGGAACCTCAAGTGTGTCCCACCCTCTGGCTCAGGCGTCCCGTTAGAGAACCGATCTCCAGAATGCAACAGGAGACGGGGCCTGAGCTTGGGGACGGGCGTGCTCTCTGAAAAACAAGGGAATCAGCCAGCAGTGCTGGGACGAGCCTCTGAGTGACGCGAGAGCTGTGTGCTGGGGTCTCATGGCCAGTGAGCACTTAGGAAGTAGTGTTTTTTTTAGAACACATACAGGTGTGGGCCAGTAGGCCGCGCAGCCGTGGAATGACCTGAGCTGACAACACTCATAGTTTTCCATGTTTATGTGAAAGGCTAAGATGTGTGACTGGTTGTGATTATATTTAAGACGTGATCGTGGGTGGATTCGATCTTCCTTTTTCACTCATTTTTGTATCACTTTCCCAGTCAGAGAAAGAAAAAGAAATATCTTCTTTTATAAGGTCAAGATGAAAGCTGAGGGCTGTGCCAGGCCATGTGGGTGGCCAAGGGGCTCGAGGGCACACCCGTGAACAACCTGCCACTTGGTCTGAGGCGTCAAGGTGATGCCAAGCGCCCAGCCGAGGTGACGGCAGGGTGGTGGCCCTTCACCTGGACAGGAAGGTCAGATGGGGTGAGCATGGGGTGCAGACATCTCAAAGGATTGTCACTTCAGTGTTTGAGACTGGGCAGATGTCAAGGCTGGATATCCCATTTCAGGGTGTTCAATGCAGGTTTGTTTAAATCTCAAAGCATGATACGTGGATGAATTTCTCTTTTCCTCTCAGATCGATGCACCTGATTTCAGCATCACTCACTTCAGAGTTTGGATCACTCACCTTACCTTTCAGGGTACAGGGGTATGTCCCTTGTTGGTGTCCCCCGTCAGAGCCCAGGACAGCCTGGTATTAACTTACGCAGCTCGGTTCTCTCGCTTCTGTTCCCCGCCCCAAGCTGCCTGGCTCTAGATCCATCATGGTCCTGGATCCACCCCTGTTCCAGAGCGGCCCTTCTTCTAGCTCCCCTTAACAGCTGCTTCTCGCTACCCTAATCCCAGATGCTGCAGTGCACCGCTACCCTAAGCCCTCCTTCTTGTGGGAGTCCTGCCCGGCTTTCCACCCTGAAGCCCAGGCTCGGCTGGTGTGGAGGCCAGTGGCCGGCGTCCTCGGTGTGTTGGCGCAGCCCTGACCGGGTCGGCATCCGGTGCTGTCCTTCTCCGGTTTGCCCTTCAGCCTGCCCTGCGTCCTCCAGAGGCAGAGCCCAGCACCCGCTCAGGACCGTCTCTGGTTACTTGGGCTTCTGCTGAGTTCTCCTGCTTTAACCCCGAGGGGCTATCATGAGCTCAGCTCCCCACTTGGCTGTGGGGTTGCACCCGGCCTCAGCTACTTGGCCAGGCTGTAGCGCTGTGACGGGCTTTGCACCGGTCTGTGGTGTCGCCATTGCTGCCAGGGACATGATAGACAGTGCTCAGACTGTTCCAATTAAACTGATTATACTAAAAGAAGTAAAATGTTTTTTTAACACATAAGCCTTCCTAAGAAAATCTGAGATGTGAATATTCATTTTTTTTAAAATAGTGACGTTGTGGTTATTTCATTAAAATATTTATTTGGCATTACTTTAAACGACCACTTTTTCTAGTATCTATAGAATATTTGATTTATGAAACTTACTTAAAATATATTTTAGGAATATATATGTTTTGTAAGTTGAAATCCTTTGGCATAGTATCATAAATTGTGTCCTTTACAGACAACTGTAAACGAAGTGCTGAATGCTTCGTTCATAATAGTCTTAACATGGACTGCGTGCCGAACACTTTTGTGCTTTCTCTTGTTTGATTCCTGGGACAGCCTTGTGAGGCGTAGGTGCCAGGTCTCGATACTTCAGGAATGACGAAGTTGGGCATCAGAAGGCTTAGTTAAGCTGCCCCAACAGCAGAGCCAGTAGGCGGCAGAGCCCAGGCTGAGCCGGCCTGCCTTTCTCCAGACCCTGCGGTGTGCGCATGCGGCGGCGAACCCGCTCAGCCGTATCCCAGCATCCGTGAGCCGCGGCAGCCCTGGCGGAGCTGGCCCCGATCCTACCTCAGCATTTGCTCAGGTTCACCGTGCGAAGCAGGGGGACAGTCTCTCTGCTCGTGTAGTGATGGCTCTGATCTTGTACCCAGGTAGTCCCCTGGCCAGATGAGCCAGACGGACCCTGCGCCAACTCCATCCGAGAAGTGCACACCGAGGGGCCCCGCCTGTCGCCCCTGGGCAGGGGCTCTAGGGGGACAGACGCCCTGTCTCCATGGAGTTTCCGATGGGCAGCGCTGTAGCTTGTCTACCCAGCTAAGCAGACACACGGTCTTCACGGGGAAGCACATGTGTGAATTTCTCTAGCTGATGCTAACGAAGCTCATTTGCTTTGCGTTTTCCAGGGGCATTGTGGAAGCGCGTTTTGTTTACGTCTTTGTCCTTGGCATTCTGTTCACGGGCACCAGAGACTTGCTGAAATCCCAAGTCACCGTGGCAGACCCCGCAGTGAGGGCCGCGGGCCTGTGGGAACTGCACAGCGGGCTGGTCCTCCTGGCGGCGCTGCTCCTGCGGCCGCATAACCTGCCCGTCCTGGCGCTCGGCCTCTTGATCCAGACGGTGATGGCCAAGTTCATCTGGAAGCCGCTGAGGCACGATGCGGCCGAGGTCACCATCATGCACTACTGGTTCGGCCAGGCGTTCTTCTACTTCCAGGTACGTTTTCATTGTTGTCACGGGTAGAAGGCGACTGACTTTTTACGCGTCACTTGTCTTTCAGTTTTCCTTTGAGAAAATTTTACTGTGAGTTGGGAAGTTATGTTTGTTCTGTGAAAGGACCATCTGTGGCTTGTGCATGAATCTAGCTGTGTTCAGTGAGACACCACACGATGGCCTACGTTAGACACGTCTGCGTGCAGACCTGGCCGCCGAAGACAGCGCTCGGCTGCTGTGCTCGGTCTGCGGGGCACGGGCAGCTGGGGCAGCGCGTCGTGTCCCTGCTGCCTCATCTGAGGAGGATGGTAACTGCGTCCTATGCCCTTTCCCTGCTGTCAGCACTGGACGCTGTCGGCTGTCCCCACTGGGGCCCGGCGCGTGTCACATCTCCCCGTAGCCAGAGGAGGAGGCCTCCTGGGGTTCGCAGAGCCACAAACAGCAGCCAGGACTGTGTCCTGGGTGGTTGGACAAACTGCCCTGGGCAGGAGCCTCAACTGGGCGGAGACATGTTTGTGCTGTCGGATTTCTGAATGTCCTGACTATCTGAGGGAAGGTCGCAGGCACCAGCACAGACAGAGTGGAGAGGGGCTGAACCCAAGGAGACCCTTCTCTTGACCCAAACCCTGCCCTCTTGTGCAGGACTAGCCGCCTGGCAGCAGGTCACTAGCCAGGACTGGCCAGTGACCAGCCAGGACCTTGCTTCTGGCACTCACCCACATGCCAAGCGACAGAGCAGCCAGCCTGCCTTCAGCCTGCAGCGGTGCCTCCTCGGACACATTGCCTCCCGGGGTCACTTGTGGCCCTCGGATGGGGCCCCTGGGGATCAGTGTCTTAAGTAGATCAATCTGAGGGAACTCGGCATTTGCCCCCGTTCATCAGCAGAGTTAGGGCTGTTGTTTCTTAGAGGGAGATGAGCAGATCAGGGATCGCTTGTCCAGGGCCAGCACAAGACAGGAGAGGCCAGGAGGCCGCGGCTCCTATGCGTCGACGTCACCGTGAGCACAGCCGTCTGTACCTTTTCACGGCACGAGCAGCTGTGTCAGCGCGGTTCTCCGTGTTCCAGGGAAACTCCAACAACGTTGCCACAGTGGACGTCTCAGCAGGCTTCGTGGGCCTGGGCACCTACGTGGAGGTCCCGGCTGTGTTCCTGACGGCATTTGCGACGTACACGGGGCCCGTGCTGTGGGCCAGCCACTTGGTGAATTTCCTGAGCTCCGAGAGCAGCAGGTAAAGCCTCTCCATCCTTCTCCAGAGTCTGCCACGGGGAGGCCCCAGGCTGGGAGCCCAGCAGTGTGGACGGCAGCAGCGGTCCACACAGTAGGTCTTCTGTCCATTCCCCTCAAGCATAGGTCGCCCTTCTCAGAGGTTACAGTCGTGGCGACCCACTGGGCGTTGCAGCGGCGGGTCCCTGTCCGCTTTGTGAAACTGAGATGCAGGGGGCAGTGACCTGGGCACTGCCCACCTCATCGTAGCCAGGGAGGGTGCACCTCCCGAGTTTCCCTTTGCCAGGTGTTGGCGCAGTGGCCCCAGGAGGTGAAGAGGTCATGCCTCAGGACCCAGCTCCCTGGGCGTCTCCTACCTGGTAGCCTGGAGCCCTAGTGGAACCCACCTGCTATGTGGCCCTGTTCCTAACAGGCCACGGACCAGTACCGGTCCATGGCCCAGGTACTGGGGAGCCCTGCCTTAAAAGATAGCTTAGGCATGTGATGATCGTGTCTATGGTGTGAAAACGGAGGGAGGATGTCCATGTGCTTTGAGGGGTGGCTCCTGTTTCAGAAATCCACTCCCTCCCTATTAGTTCAGCAAACACTCGGGACAGTGTCCACAGACCAGATCAGACCAAGCAGATGCTCCGTTCACAGCACGGAGAAGACCTCAGACTTGTACCTCGTTCTTGTGTGCTTTGCCTTTCATCGTTGATATTTTATAATATATGTGATATAATAGTATAATATATAATATGCGCATAATTTTTAAAATGATAACTGCAAAATCTGGGGGTGCATTTTTCAAAAATACTTTGCAGACTATAGAGGCACTGGAGAGTGACCAGAGGCGCCTGCCTACAGCTGTTGTCCCCTCGGGCACCTGCGTGCCCATCCGAAGCATGGACCCCCCCACCAGACTGACCAGATCCAGATGGGGGGCCGGAAGCAATGATCACCTAGCCATTTTCAAATAAGAATTTTTATCACCAGCGTGTTTCTGCCTCACATGTGCAGAAGGGTCGTCACTCACCCATTTTCTTCTTT